TCATCCATTATATTTTTTTTTTTTTTTTTTAAAATAACCTTTGAGCAGTTTTATTAAGGAAGTACCCTTGTGGTTTACTTTGTTCTGGTCAGGCCTAGCTTGCCCTCCATGATATCAGAATCCCCTTGGTCAGCTCTAGCGAGGGTCCACAGTTAATAGGATTTTCCCATGCCAGACCCTGTAGAGGACTGTTGTGACTAGCAAGGAATACCAGACTAGGGTTAACATAGCAGATTCTCAGGTCCGACCTTCCTCAGAGCTTTGCACTTCCTGGCCAGGAGACTTTGACTTTGCCCTACCCCTACTCATTTTCCAGGTTCAGTGGCACTGCAGCAGGTCTTTTCTACTCTTTGTTTTCAGCTGGAACCTAAGGGTAGTAGGTCACCTTTGGTCTTATTTGAGGCCACAGTCTTTCTAGTGTTTGTGGAATGGGGCTCTAACGTAAGTCACACCGAGAAGGCTAGGAAGTGGGAGTGAAAGCAGTCAGGCTCCTGGGATGGTGGAGGATGATGGAGGCTATGGTAGGCAAGGTGCTCAATTCATTTTTTGAGCAGTTGTCCAAAACAGATGTATATAAGAGCTCTAGGAGTAGTACACCTACAGCCCACTTTTCACAGTGATTAATCCGATAGACCAGAAGCCAAAGAACTGGACTCTCTTCCCAGTGCTGCTAGCACTTATATTCAAAGACAAGGTTTAAACCTTGGTAAATATATCTTTACCATTGGAAAATTATAAGTTTTCCTTTTTATAATATCAAAGGAATGTTTATAAATTCTAAAATAGATTCTAGAATATTACCTCACTTTTCTAGAAGGAAAAATTCCTACAGCTCCAGCCATTTGAAACATGGCCATGACTGAGCTGCCACCAAGTTTGAACACTCTTCCTGCTTCTTCCTGAGCAACACAGCTGCATGATTAAAAATGTTCATGACATAAAGACAGCCCCAAGATATGACTGCTGGCAGCCAAGGGAAAAGACAAAAAAAGCTGCCTTGCCCAGTCAGCAAAGACTCAGGTGTCTGGCAGGGAGGGAATATTTAAAGTGAGTAGCAGATTCAGTCTTTGCCCTCAAGGAATTTACATTTTTTTAGGTTGCCTCATATAAAATTGCTAGTTTTATAGGACCGTATGTTCAGTATACTATTGGAAAACAAATAATCACATGTTAAACAACAGCAGCGAATACAAAATAACATCTACTTCCTTTATTTATTTATTTATTTGGTACCGGGAATTGAACTCAGGACCTTGTGCTTGCCAGGCCAGCACTTGCGCCACAGAGCTCTATCCCCGGCCCTCTAGTTCTATATTAAGTTATGTGATGTAAAAGTACCCATCTAGGGAGAAGCACAATTGTCTGTGGCAGCTGAAGTAAGCAAAGATGGCTTCCAAATGAAGCCAGAACAATCTGAGCCGTGGAGCTATGTGATACTCAAACAGGTATTAAGAAAAGTAAAATTCTCAACAGAGGAAATGACATGGCTAAAGGGACAGGAGCAAGAGAGCATGTTCTAGACAGGAGAAAGTTTGCTCACAGCATGGAAATAACTTGGTCTAGATAGTGTGGCATCAACCTATGGCAGTCCTTGCACACTAAGAAAAATGTGAGTGCCAGTTTTACCTAGTTCACTCTTGTACTAGGAGATTATAATGTCTGGGACGTTATAATTTATGAAATAAATGAGAAAGAAGCTTTGATTCATGATAAAGTAAGAATTTACCAAGGATGGATGGAAAAGCTGATGCTATTGTGCATCATGGTATGCATATGCAAGTGGTATCTAAAACTGATTAATGTGTATGCTGAATGGGCCAAGGAAAAAGACTAGCATCCGGAAATAAAATCAGGGTGTTCTTTCATTAATCTAGAGAGGGGGGATAAAAGCCTCGAGTAGGATGGGGGAAAAAAAGAGAGAGAGATTGTAGACATTTAAAAGAAACAGTATACAGCTCAAAAACTTCATGCTGGTTAAAAGAAGCCAGTCACCGAAAAATGCCTATTATATGATCCCATTTATATGAAATAGGCAAATTATCAAGACAGAAAGGAGATTATTGGTTCCTAGGACTTGGGAGAGCAGGGAAAGTGAGAAATGGCAGTAATTATTAATGGGTGTAGGGGTTTAGGGGAAGATGGATGACATATTCTAAAATTGAGTACATTAATGATATACAATTCTATGAATAAGTTATGCAGTACATGAATATATTTCAATAGAGGTATTATTAAAATATAGGGAGAGGGAATCAATAAAATGTAGTGAATGACAGGAGACATGTTTAATGGAGAAAATGAGTCATTCTCAGTGGATTTCATAATTTCCAATTTGATTGTCAGTGAAATAACAGTTATGGCCACTAGCACCATTATTATTTATTATTATTTTAGAAGCTCTGAGTGATACAATAAAACATGAAACATTAAGAGGAGGTATAATATTAGAAAGGAAAAACCAGTTTTGTGCTTTCAGAGGGCCCAGAAGAATCACCCAAAATTGACTAACGTCGATGAAATACAGGAAAATGATCATATGTAAGATGTACACAAATGTCAAAATATTCTAATATCCCAGGAATAGCTAATAAGAACAAACATTACTTAAAAATTTAACCTTGAAATAACCTAAGTAATAAATGTGAAAGGCTTATACAAGGGGAGAAAGCAAGTTTTTATTAAGCAATAATAAATAAAGATTTAATAAATGGAGATAGGTATCAGGTTCTTTGTTAGAAACACTAAATATTATAAACATATAAATCTCCAAATTAACTTTCAAAACCTCATTAAAGTCCATAGGTAGGAATGAATATAACGTTGCTAGCAGAGTAAATTTGGTGAAACATTTCAAGAACCTTCAAAATGTTCAAAGAAATCTTCTGGAGAGAGAAAAGGCTTCCTGCACAAGATGCTCAGTCTTTTCCTTTAGATCCTAGATGAAAACGGTCCTCCTTCCTCAAAGTTTGCTTCTCATTCCCAGCTTCTTCAATCAACTGGTACTCTACTGTCCAGTATCTGCTGCCTCTCTGTAAACGTGTCATTAACTTTGGTTATTTAAGAAAAGAGTGAAGTAAGGAAAGCTAAACTCAGCTGAAGTATTGTTACCACAATTTGGAAATAATCCTATGACACAGTGGAAAGCGCTTACTGGTGGCTGGGTATACGATTTGGTAGTGGTTATTTCTTAGAAAGTGTGTATCATGTGTAACATGCCTTCCTCGGCTTTATCAAAGTTAATGATCCCTCAGAGGACAGAAATGAAAGAAAGCCTTACCTATAGCTTCTTAAAGGTTCTTGAGAGAGAATTAAACTGAAGAATGGTGGAAAATATACTAGCCTGAGTCAGATAGAAGCCAGGGTAATTTCTAATCCTTTCTTTAAGGAAAAAAGCTCCACTCTTACAGAGGAGTAAACTCAATTTTTCTATTTACTTTTCTGTATTTTAATGCAGAGATAACATACATTAATTATTTTTTTAATGCAAAGACATAACTATGTATAAAATTACAGGCTTGCTTCTCTGATTTCTCCTCCTCCCTAGAGCTATAATTACTTGTAAATCATTGTGGAGTTCCTGAGGTTTAAAAATTGCCTCAGTTTTTCTCTCTAGTACAGCTTCATTTTTTTTTTTTTTTTTTTTGGTAAAAGACATGATTACATTCTTTGTATTCTTTTATTTTTATATTCCCAATCACTACTACTTACCTGGACATTGTAATTTTTCTACATGTATGATTTAGTTCCCTGTTAGTTGTATGTAAAATTGTGATTTTAACTATATATTCATTTGAAAGTATCCAGCTAGCTCCTTCTAGTTTATTTTCAGCTATTTCCAAATCAAATTTAATCTTGATTTTTTTCTTATACCCAAATTAGTATATATGTGTATATGCATTGATGACAGAAAAGTAAAGGCAGATTTTATCTTGCTAGTGTATAAAGTTCTGAAGTCTTTTAAATAATAACAAAGTGGACAGTTTAAACTCATGAACGTTTAGCCAGGTATGGTGGCACATGCCTGTAATTTCAGCTCTTGGGAGGCTGAGACAGGAGGATCACCTCTAATGTGAGGCCAGTCTGTACTACATAGTAAGTTCAAGGAACTACGTAAGGAGACCTTTTCTCAAAAAAACCAAACAAACAAAACAAACAAAGCACACATCACTAAACTCATGGGTGTTTGCAAACTAGCAGGTGACATAACCTGGGAAAGCAGACACCAGGGCCTGGTGAGGACAAGTGTCAATGGACAGCATGCCCCTCATCAGGAACAAGAAGCTCCCATTCAGAGGCAGGACCATCATCATGCTGGACCTAATTTTCATTAGATTTTTGGTTTTTTTCTTTATAAAGAAGTAAAAAAAAAAAAAAAAAAATCTGGATTTTTTTTTTAAATGTACAATCTCCCAATTATTTTAAATACTACTAAAGTTATAGGCTAAAAATGGCCCTCAGACTGCCACATTGCAACCTCGTTATATTATTATACTTACCAGCCACAAAAGGAGCCCATTTTTCTACATTTGCTCTTGAGGGAGATGATGAAAAGCTGCCCCATGAATACATCAGAGAAAAGGTGTTATTGAATTTACCACATAAACTTCTACATTTGTATTTTCCTAGTATGTTTTTAGTCTGCTTTAGAAAACCCACCACACTCCTCTTACACCACACCGAAGTGTAAAGTTGGTTTATTCAAGTAGATCCTCAGTCCCATCCACCAACTACAAAGAAAGAGGGATACAAAAGTTTAACCAACTTCATTTTCCGACCTCCAGTGGTTTAAACCAGAGTTCTTTGGGAGCAAAAATTCTCTTTTCTTCCTCAGAGTTGCTGAGAAATTATAATTAGAGGTTTTCCTGTTGTGTAAAGGAAGTAAAGGAAAGGAATTCCTTTCGTTTCTTACAAGACTTGAATTCTCAACTAATTTTCTTCCCTGTCCCATTTCTCTTTCTGCAGGTGATAGAGGGAAAACTGGCTCCATTCTTGGGCAAGGTCATTAAATTTGCTACCTCACACGTGTACAGCTGCAGCCTCTGTAGCCAGAAGGGGTTCATCTGCGAAATCTGTAACAATGGAGAGATCCTCTACCCTTTTGAAGATATTTCAACCAGCAGGTAGAGAATATCTTATCTTATAAAAAATGCCTGAAAATGTCACATGCAGTCTTATTTGGCCAGATCGGGCCAACTCTTAGTTAAGTACTCTGTCTCTGTCTCTTACCTGGGAACACATTTCCTTTGTTCTTGGAGATCATGTTTCATTCTTTGGTTTTCTATATTTATTTCCAGCCCTTACTCTGCTACCTTTATCCAGAATGAGATAGCAGAGTTATGAAGGAACATCACCTGCTTCTGCCTTGTTAAGTAATGAAGAGTGTTCAGATTCAGTTTTAGAATGAAGATTTAGGAGGAAAAGCCCTCATCATAAACACTGGTGATGGGCAATGGGAAATTGGCCTTTCCCAGGAAGGCTGGAACTGGGTCAACTGCTAGAAATATGGCTAGAGAACCCTGTGAGCAGCTGCCCGCTCACCACATGCTTGTCTCCACAGATACACTGCAATGGAGCAATGAAAGTTTTTGGACACCAAGGAGAGAAAAGTAGGAGTTTATGTGGGATTACTTTTTTAACCAAAGTAATATTTGGGAATCAGCACATCCACTGATTTATGAATGATTTTCCTCCACTAAGTTGAGAGCAAGGTTCTTATTATTGCTTTTCTTCAATCAAAAAATGATATATTACTTTTCCTTTCATCCCAGAGCATAATAGAAACATACACTGTGTGTGCACTCCTGCTTCTTTTGGCCATGAATATCATAGCTCATTTCCCACCCTGCAGGGCTCACTTACACTGTGGTTCAGAACAGAAGGTAAGGCATGCAGCCAGGGAAAGTTAAAGCATGTTGAGTAGAGCTAAGATGGTAAGAGTTGACTCAGCCCTTTTGGCCTCTTTTTAAACCCAAAGACTCTTTGTAAACATTTAAGAACTTAGGTTAGGTTGGCCCCACACATAGGCACATAAATGCATAGAAACACACACAGTTCCCCAGCCTCCAGTTCCCTGAGTACAGGTAGTTAGCTCACCACCTACGTGGATTAGTAATTCCATCTTAATTACACTTTTAAAAGTATACATCACACGAAAAACTTATACACAAATGTTCATGTAAGTAGTACTCATAATAGCCAGTAAATGGAAATAACCTAAATATCTTTCAACTGATGAATGAATAGACAAAATTTGGTATAGCCATACAATGAGATATTACACATTCTTAAAAAGAGAATGTAGTACTGATACACACTACAACATGGAATAGCCTTGAAAATGTACTAAGTGAAAGAAGTTAGACACAAAAGGCCACATATTGTGCAATTTGCTTTATATGAAATCTCCAAATTAGGTAGATCAACAGAGATAAGACAGATTAGTGGTTGCCTGTGACTTGAGGAAAGGACATAGGGGAAAATCTGTGCAGAGAGGGTTGTTTTTGATAGCAAAAGTGTTCTAGAATTAGATTGTGGTGATGATTGTAGTTTTGTGACTACACCAAAAATCAGCAGATTAGACACTCTAAAAGAGTGAATTTTATGGTACATGATTGTAATAAAAATAAAAAGTAAATTAAAAATGCCTCCAATTGAATAAAGTATATATTGTGCCACAAAACAAGTCTCAGTAAATTTTAAAAGTCTAAAACTATACCAAGCCGGGCCTAGTGATGCATGCCTGTAATCCCAGCACTCAGGAGGCTGAGGCAGGAGGATCGTTGTGAGTTTGAGACCAACCTGGGCTCCAAAGTGAACTCAAGACCAGCCTGAACTGCATAATGAGACCCTGTCTCAAAAAGACCAAAAATAAATATGCACTTTAAATAATAATGATGTTTCAATATTGATTCATTAATTGTAACAGATCTACTACACTACCACAGTAATGTAAGATGTTCATAATGGAGGAAAAGAGGCAGGTGTTAGGAGTATATAATATGGAAACTTTCTATATGTTTGATTTGTGAATTTCCAACTGTTCTAAAAAATGAAGTCTACTAAAATTTTTTAAATGCATCCATCCATATGAATGGTTGACTCTTAGATTAAAGCTGAACAGTTTTTAATAAACTTTATTTGAATAATTTTAGATTTGCAGAAAACTTATAAATATAGTACAGAGAGTTCTCCTACACTATACACCCAGTTTATCCTGTTATTTGTATCTTACATTAGTATGGTACATTTGTTAGAATTAGTGAACCAATATAGATATATTATGACCTAACAGCCATAGGTTTTTTTTAGATTTTCTTAGTTTTTGCCTAATAACGTTATTATATTTAGTTGTCACATCTCCATAGATTCCTCTTTTTTTTATTTTAGAGAGCATAGATTCCTCTTAGACATGAGAGGTTCTCAGATTTTACTCATTTTTGATGATCTTGACAGTTTTGAGAAGTACTGGTCAAGTATTTTCTACAATCCTTCTGTTGGGATGTGCCTGTTATTTTTCTTTCTTAAGTTTAGACTGGGTTTTATGGGCTTGGGGAGAAAAACCACAGAGCTAGGGACCATCTCCTCAGTTACTACATGTCCATACTATCACCATGCCTGGCCACTGCAGTGTCTGTGGTAGGCCCCCGCTGTAGGAGTACTCTTCTTCCTCCTCTCTCAATACTGCCCCTTTGGAGGAACGTGACCATGTGCAGCCACACTTAAGGAGTGGAGTTATGTACTACCCTCTCGGGAGAACATGGACAACATTATTTGGTATTCTGTAGAGGGAGATTAATCTCTTCCTTCCCATTTACTACTTATTTTTCAGTTGCTTATTTACTCATATTAGTGTGGACTTGTACAGTTATTTTATAGTTTGGCTTATACAAAATACTGTTTTTCTTTATTGCTCAAACTGTTCCAGCCTTCGCAGTTCAAGCCCTCAGTTGGCTCCTGAGGCCTTCTGACATCCCCCAGTCATTGTGGAGGTTTTGTTTGGAATGTAATTTTTGTTTGTTTTGAAGGGTTTGTTTGTGTAAAGTTTTATTTCTGGCAGTACAATATGATCCAGGCCCACACTCATCTTTTAAGTTTCTTACCCTAGTCCAAGACACAACCCTCTGTCCAAGGAACTCTGACTTGTTTTATAAGAGAATGACATTAGAAACTAGGATCTGAGTGTGAAGTTTAAAGCCCTAAGTCCTAGACTTGTCGCTTGACTACAGCAGAAGTGCCGCTCTGCACATAAAAATCTCCCTTAACACTTGGCTTATCTAAGTCCAGGAATCTGTGTCATCACAGACTTTATGACTGTGAGTCATCACAGAAGAAAGTTGACATTAGAGGTACTGGCTTCTTTCCAAAATGACCTCATTATCACATCTATGGGCTCTTAGGGATCTGTCCCCAGTAGGAGAGAATACAGTATGTGGCCATTTGGAATCCTGTTTCCGTGTCTGTGTCGGAAGGAGCCTTGACCAGCTTTCCAGCATTTCAGGTTGATAATACTAAGGAACCTATTGAGCATCCTCTTGTTTCCAGTTAAGTGCTGGAAACAATTTATACAAGACTATAGGAAAAGGAAAAAACATGGATAAATTTGAATGGTGGTATAAATTTTGAAATCTGAGTACTGTAATTGAAATTTTTGTGAAGTAATATGTCATCTCACATTTGTCTCAAAATAATCTGTGTTGTGCGGGTGAGTATGGATGAAAGAGATTGCTAATTGTTGAAGCTGGGTGATAAGTGTACAAGGATTTATTATGCTATTCTATTTCTAATATATTTGAAGTTTTTTTATAATGAGACATGTTTTAAAATCTGTAAAAATAGAAACGAGATATTTAGTGAATTTGTTACCATATATCCTTAACCATACTGTTAAATTCAGCACCTCAAGTCCTCAGAAATATACTTACTATATTTTTAGATCTAAATATCATTTGAATAGCATAGTTGCAGTTTGGTTTGAAAAAAAAAAAAACCACAAGTTTTAGAACTATTTATTTTTCCAATAAATTATCTATTGTGCATTGTATGTGGGAGGTGTGTGTATGTGTGTGTGTGTGTATGTGTATGCTAGACACTCAGTGAATATCCTTGCTTCTTGCTCATAATACTGTATAGTCCAGTAGGGACCAGATGAGGCATTAGATAGTTCTATTAAAGTATAGAAAAGGGAGAAAGGAAGGGGAGGGGAGGGGATTTTTTAAAAAAGGATCAAAGTGTATTACATATGTGTACCAACTCCCCACAATGAATATAATCATGTACTGCAAACATGTACTAATAAAAAATTAAATTTTTAAAAAATAATACAAATAAAGAGGAGTCAGAGCACAGAACAAGGGAATGGAGCTGCACCTCCAAGAAGGGACCTATTATCCATGCAAGTGATATGAATTATAGGTGACAATAAGTTTTACAGTTTCTAAAAATATTAGGGAGCTCCACATTAAGGTCTTAGGCACTGATCCATGAGTATTAGAATACACTGGGGTGTTTTTTTTCTTTCTTTTTCTTTTTTTCTTTTTTGGTACAAGGAATCAAACTCAGTGCCTTATGCTTGCCAGGTAAGTGCTGTGCCACTGAGCTATGTCCTTGGCCCTCTAATATACTCAGTTTAATATGCTTGATTATGAGCATATTTTTGGTACATGTTTGCAGTATATAATGTTTACATTCCTTGTGTGGAGTTGGTGCACGTGTAACACAATTTCTTTCATTCTCTTTCTTTCCCCTAATCTCTTGATCTTCCCATTCCCATTCCCTTTCCCTTTTGAGAAAGATCTATCTCTCTACCATCTCTTATCTATTTTTTACTTTGTTCTTTATAATCTGGGTTTCTCATCTTAGAGAAACCATGTAATATTGAAGCTTGTGTGTGTGATTTATTTCACTTAACATTAATGGCCTCAAGGTGCATCTGTTTTTCTACACATGACTCAAGTTTATCTTTCTTTATGGCAGAGTGGTACTCCTCTTACCACATTTTCTTTATCCATTCTTCTGTTGATGGACATGCAGGTTGCTTCCAAGATTTAGCTGTTGTGAATAGTGCTGCAATAAACATGGGTATGCACGTATCACTGTAATATGATGTCTTTAACTCTTTCAG